TTGAAAGTGCAAGAGCTGCTCTAACAGAGAGTACTACAGATACTAGTACAGGAAACGAACACATTACACAAGGGGTTCTTTTCTCCAAAATATTTTTACTAGATCAAACGATAAGTACACTTACAAGTTCCACTTATCAACTTCAATCCTAGCCTAACGTGTTCACAAATCACACATGATCTTGTGAACCTATCACTACACCTTAGCCCCTTTGATCAAGATCTCTTTTTACTAGACAATCTCCAATCCCCTTTGCTAAGACATATGATCTAATTGTGTTAAACGTCTCTCCACGTTCTTACACTCCTATTTATACACAATAGGAACCGACGGCTAACCCTAGCCTTGGTCTTCAAGTTTGGAAGATATTACATCTTTGTAGGATATCCTCATTTCCTTAATCTTAGCCAAAATATAAAGAAATCTTCATGCTCTTTGATCCTCTCCAAGGAACGCCTCCAGCTCACCTAGAGCATCAAGTCACATCCATCCTAACTTGGTCCAGCCCACTCTTCAAGCCCATGAGACCTTAAACTCAGCTAGTCCGCTCGTACAACCTCCTATAGTACTTCACGACTGGTACAGGTCACTGCTACAACCCGAAACTGCTTTCTTCATATTTCAGATAATTTATTATTCGTTTCTCAACTCCGTAGATTGAACAACTATATCAACTCATATTGAATTCTAAAACTCATTCAAACATACACTTTCAATGCGGTTTTGACTCGACATTCATATAAGGCATGAATTAAGATGGCTTGGATATTTTATCGCAGTGGCCACCTATATATGCCATTTAAAGGAGAGGGATAGCGTTTTAAACGCCTATCTCGTAACTCAAAAGTGTATTTTTCTTACGTCTAAATTCAAATTTTAATTTCATCTTTTCCTTGCACATATGGTATCTAAAAAGCTGATGGAAACAATAGTTCCACTTCTATTTGTATGAGTATGAGAATTTAATTTTATAAACTTTTAGATATATTTTTTTGTTTTTACGGAATTTGTATTTTCAATTATTATAACAGAGAATGGATCGGATATCAAAACCGGTTAGTTGTTTTTTCTCATCATGTGACAGTGACCTATTTAATCTCTTACAGCACGTGGGCCACTATACATAACAGTAATATTAGGCCTTTTTAGGCCCATATTTTAATAGACAGAGAAGTTAATGCAATTATGGGAAGCAACAATATAAAGACGAAGATGATTACCCCGAATAAGCTTGTACGAATGAAAACGCTACTAAACAGCAGTGCCATTTTAATGATCTTGCAAAATCTAGATTAGATGTTGCAAAAACAAAAACAAAAAACATAAACTGCGAAGTAAGTTGAGTTTTAGATAATGAACCAAACATGGATCCATCGAAAAAGCGATCAAATAAATTTAGGATATGAGTTTAATACTTTGCGAAAGACTTATTGACATCATAAATTTGTAAATAGTTGATCGTAGAAAGAAAAAAACAATAACTTCCCAGTCATGTTTGGTACCCAAACGTTACTCTTTTGATCTTAATCGATCATATATAGTCTCACCTCGAAAATCGAATTCATTATTCTGCAATCACTAGCATTTCTTCCTCCTTATTTTTAGCAATTAGAAAGAAAAAAATTAGTATAACTTCAGTTAATGGCTAAACATTAGAAGACTAACTGTAAACTGCGCGTGGGACAATTCTAATAATTCTCTTCATATTATATCATCGCATTTATGAACCCTATCGGGAATCTTTTAATCTGATGCAGTTTCCACAAATCTCTAACAATGTCCATGATAAGGTGCATTTATGGAGCTAGATGGGTGGTGTGTGTGTGTTACGAAAAAAACACTACTATATACTATAGATTCATGATATTAATGTTTTCACGAATATTGTGGGTCTTTATAACTTTAATTTCTAATGATCAAATTTTTTAAAGGTGAGTGTCTTGCAATCTTTAGTGCTACTACTAACATCGATCTCCAAGATAATCAACTATAATAGATTGTTATTATATTTTTCACGTATAATCTTATTTAGGGTCGTCACAACATTTTTAGTGACCCAATTTTGCGTTTCTAAAATGATTCTGTTGTACACTACAAATGTGCTGAATTTATAACTTTTAAACATGAAATGTCACTAATCTACTAAATTACTAAGGAGTCACAATCGCTTCTTCAAAATTGCTTCACATATATATACTCAACAAAATAAAGATAGCCGAGTATTGATATGATTAAACCTTTTAACCAAAAAGATATATACACATCGATCGAGATGAATGGATGATATTGGTAATTAAGTTAAAAAAAAAATATATCTGGATTGTTTAGATAATACTAAGATATTCACACGTCTCTATTAGGCATTAGCAAGGTGGATAGTTATGGATTAACCAAATCTAAAAAGAGATGTCGAATAGTTATGGATTAACCAAATCTAAAAAGAGATGTCGAAATGGAGAAGAAAAAATGGCAAAATCAGCATAATATCATAATTACCGAAATCTAGATGTTATAATATTACTAGTACAACATCATTGCTACCACCACTTTAATAATATGAAAATATCCCAGAGATAAGCATCTTATTCTTTATGATAGGATTCTCAGTATTGTTTGAAACTAATTAATCATAAAAGTCTTTACCATTGGCATTAAGCCATCAACTATACGATTCTTCAGTACTGTGACATCCTCACAACATATATAGCTTGGTACATGGACATAAGTCACATAACTAACTATTTTCCAACAGAAGAAGACTTTAACACGCTTTATACTCTCCCATTATTACATTTAAAGAATCGCCAAAACGAAACCAATTTAATAATGGTTATATATTGCTACAAAATCTAGAAACATCTCACCACCATAAATTTATTTGACTAAATCAAATAGCGAAATTACTCTTATATGATCTTTTCTCCACTATAATTATATATCAATATAATAAAAGACTTTCCTTTTATTTTGAACATACATATCAATATAATAAAAGAATTTGCTTGGACAAAAAAAAAGGACCAGCTCAAAAGTGAAAACCGGGAGAAAAAAAAAAAAGTGAATCGAGATGAGACCAGTGAATTTTTGGATTGTAATAAGAAACAATAATCACATACCCACTAAAAA